TCGCGGGCAGCATCTGCCATTGCTGACAGGGCCGCTTTGGCAGCCAACCTCGTCAAGCATTCGCCTATCGCTATTGGCCGAGCCCCTCCCCCAGGTTTGGCCAAGGCGATGAGTCGAGACGCGGTGAGGAGGTTTGCCACCGAGGCTGGCAAATTTCCTCCCAGGATGGTGTTTACTAAGGCGTGCAGGTGGGTGCTGACAAATGCATTTGTGATTGCCGCGTCGTGCAGGTGCTCAAATGTCATGCCCGACGGCCCGGCTCCAACTCCATTTTCGCATCTACCCAGCATTTTGGCAAAGTCAGCATGCGGGATTGACAGCGTTGACCCTTGTGGCGTGGACCATGTCACCTCCCCGGGTTCAGCAGGCGGGTGCTTCAAACGCAGATCCTCCAGGATTTCGGGGCTCGGGGTACAGACGGGTGTTGACTCCAGGGCCAGTACGGCCCGTCGCAGGCTGCCACGTTTCGCCAGGCCTTCGGCTCGGCTGAGCACGCCAGCTGCGTCGGGCTGATGTCGAGGCGGTGGAGGCGCGTTGACTGCGTCCGCCGCGTCCTGATACAGCTGCTCCCATTCGCCACGCTGGAAGGCTCGGAGTCGGGTCTTGATTTCCGGCCAATTCGGTCTTCGTGGCGAGGTTTGGCGAAGTGTTAGGCGCGGGAGAAACAACAGCAGGCGCCAACCTGTCTCTGACTCGGGGTTTCGCGAGAGGTGCAGTAACGGCGTCAGTAACGCCAGCGAGAACAGATGGCACAAGTTTGGCAGTAAACGCCGCGACAGTGGAGGCTGACGACTGTCGCATAGTGCTGCGATATCCCAATTTGTAATGCCTGCAACAGGTCTGTCCGCTTCGCGAGCTCGTCTGGTGAAAAGTAGCGGGGAAATGATGCTGATGGGCGTGCCGTGGTACGCGCATTGGTGGTTCGATTTCTCCCGGCGCGGCTCGATCTTATTGGGGGGCTTGAAGTTGGATTTGCGTCCGTCCGATCGACATCGGACGATGGTCGAGCCATCTGTGGCGCTTGTAAGTCCGTCTGCTGCACTACCTCTTCCCTTCGCCTTGGTCCTTCTCTCGCCATGCCTTCTCCATCCGTCTCCTCGTTCTCGCTCTCGGGAAGAGCTTCTTCCCTATAAGGCGGGTCGTCCCGCTCGTCTTCGTCATTAGATTCCTCCACGGTGTTTAAAGCCCTTCTCGCCGCCCTCTGATACCCATTCTCTGGTCCTCCGCCCTTTCCGCTCACGGTTTCTCTTCTCGCCCCGCGACTTCCCTGCTCTCGAGATGGTGATTGCTGGAGCACCTGAGCCGTCGCCAGGGCACGCTGCCGCCTAGTCGGCTGTGGTCGCTAGGCCTCCAGCGGGGCCCGAAAGGGCGACCATGGCGACGGAGCCCCCTCTACCGCCGGCTCCGAGGCACGTGACAGCAGTCTCTGAAAAGACTCATCCCCACGCACCCGCGGCTCCCCTTGTCGGGGCGGAGGCTGGCCCGACCGGTCCCGCTGCTGTTCTGTCTGCTCCGCCTGCGTCACCAGGCACCCAGGCTCCCCTTGGCGGGCCGTCGGCGTCTGCCCCTGCTGGGGGTGTTGCTGAACCACCTGCGTCTGTCCCTGGCGCCCGTGTTGCGCCGAGCGCTTCTGCCCCCTGCCTGCCTGCGCAGGTCTCTGCTTCGTCACCAAAGGCGGCGTCCGCCACCACTGGCGAACCGGCTCCGTCGGTTGCGCCTGCGGCGGTGGCTCAGTCCGCTCCCGCTGTGACGGCGGAGGTTCCTGCAGGCCAACCGTCACGCCCTCCGTCGCCTGACCGTCGCTCGTCGCGGCCCCATTCCCCCGCTCCCCACCAGGAACGCAAATCATCTCGTCGCCGGCGTGAGTCTCCACGGCGGTACCAGCAACAGTCGCGCTGGCCTGCTCACCCCGGGGGTCAAGGGGGTTGGAGGGGTTCCCGTGCTCGTGGCGGGGACGGGGGGCATCGCCCGCCTGTGACGATGGCGGATCTTCAGCGGGAAGTGTCGAGGGCGGTTCGGGAGGAGAGGGCGGCGCAGAGCCAGAGCAGTTCGCTGCGCGCCTTGCCAGCCCGCGAGGCTCCCTGTCCGGCTGCGCTCCCCCCAAACCCGCAGCCTGTTGCTGCGCCTCCCCCCCAGATCCAGGCGCTCCCGGCTCCTTCTCCCGCTGTATCGGCGCCTGCTCCCGGCTCTCGTCTCCAACTGCCACCAGTTCCGCCTGTTGCGGGAGTGGAATTTGTGGCCGCAGGTGGCGGCTCGTTGGCGGCTCCGTTCGCTCTCCCTGCTGATGCTGATGAGCCGCTCCAGTTCCTGGCGGAGGCACTCCAGCCTCTGCAGACCCGTGTTCCCGAGGCGACTCTCGGATAGCTACACCGCCTCGCTGACAGTCTCCACGCTCTGCTGCTGATTCAGGTGCTGGCCCACTCGTCTCTCCCTGTGATCCATCCTGAGACCTTCCGTGGCCGCCAGCGTGACTCGTGCCTGGATGCGGCGGACCAGCTTGCGGTGCTGCTGGCGCCCGTGCTGGCTGCGCCCGTGGAGGGTGGCGCTGCTGCTGCGGGACAGCTTGACGAAGCCGTCCGGGGCTTGAGGCGGCACTTGCGCGGAGGATCTGGAGCCGCGGCGATCGGCGCAAGCACGCTAGTGGTCCGGGAGCTGTGGCGCTCCCTGACGGGCATTCTTCACGCCCTTGGAGCTCACCGCATGTAGATGCGGGCTCCGATTGCCCCATGATTGATTTGCTTGTCTAGGTTGCCGTAGGAAGAGCCATGCTTGTAAGCCGTTGTTTATGAGCAACTGTGAGTATTCTCACTTGCCGTCCCCTTAAGCGCGGCCGAAGGCCGCGCTGTCGAGCGTCGGCCGCCGAAGGCGGCCGGCGCGAGCCGCTCGGTTAGTGGAGCAAAATGAACCCAGAACTGAATAATGAGGCTCTAGGACAAGGTCCTAGGGCCTTTATACTAGGCTGGAGAGGGCTGGAGAGGCTAAGGACTAGGGCCTCTCTCTCTCTCTCTCTCTCTCTCTCTCTCTCTCTCTCTCTCTCTCTCTCTCTCTCTCTCGCTCTCTCTCTCCCGCTCGGTTAGGGGAGCAAAATGAACCCAGAACTGAATAATGAGGCTCTAGGACAAGGTCCTAGGGCCTTTATACTAGGCTGGAGAGGGCTGGAGAGGCTAAGGACTAGGGCCTCTCTCTCTCTCTCTCTCTCTCTCTCTCTCTCTCTCTCTCTCTCTCTCTCTCTCTCTCGCTCTCTCTCTCCCGCTCGGATAGGGGAGCAAAATGAACCCAGAACTGAATAATGAGGCTCTAGGACAAGGTCCTAGGGCCTTTATACTAGGCTGGAGAGGGCTGGAGAGGCTAAGGACTAGGGCCTCTCTCTCTCTCTCTCTCTCTCTCTCTCTCTCTCTCTCTCTCTTTCTCTCTCTCTCTTTCTCTCTCTCTCTATCTCTCTCTCTCTTTCTCTTTCTCTCTATCTCTCTCTCTCTCCCTCTCTCTCTCTCTCTCTCTCTCTCTCTCTCTCTCTCCCAATATCTCTATCTCAGGGTCGAGATTCCTCACTCTCTCTCTCTCTCACTCGGTCAGTGGACACTCTCTCACTCTGTCGATATCTAGCGCCCACTCTCTCACTATCACTGTTCCGGATTCGCGCTCTTCTCTCACATTCGAGATCGTGTGTAGCTCATCCTCCCAACATTGCGTTTTTCCATCACATCTCTTCCCCCACCACACTTCTCTCCTCCAGCCCTTGTCTTGATCTTCAACTAAATCTCACGCATTTTGTATGTGCGTCGGTGTGTGCTGGTGTGCGTGTGTGTGCGTGTGCGTGTGCGTGTGTTTTTGTGCGCGTGTGAGAGTGCGTGTGTGTGTTGTAGTGTGTGTGGGTGTGTGTGTGTGTGTACCGGCAGGTGCTCGCGGGCCTTTGCCGCGTGCAGTCTCTCTACGCGTGGCTCGAGTTTGACAGTGCCCTTAGAACAATTCAGGCCCTTGCGCGACCGGTGAACAGACGGGGGGACCCTTGTCGAGATTCGTGAGCGTTGCACTGTGCGTTGACGGGACGGCTGCCGCCACTGCTGCTGCAGCTTCTCATTGGCTGGTGGCAATAGGATTGTCACAGTGTGAGTATTGTGCACGAGAGAATTGTGAACTGGAGTGGACGAGTGGGGGTGTGTGCATTGGGAAAAGAGTTGTCGAGCACTAGTGCACTGGGATCTAGGGTGCATTGGTGCATGTGAAGCATTGTACATGTCCATCCCTCTCGAACTCCCCCTCATCACGCTTGCAGCAGGCAACAATTCTTCTCTTCCTTACCTCATCCCACCCATGCCATATGTTACAATAATTTCAGCTTCATTTCCCCGTTATGCGCTGCTATCATGTTTCAGTGCACCATGCACCATCACCCCACCTGCCCCCCATGACCCACCATTCTCTTCCCGCCCACACATTGCTCTGATTTTCCGCTTAGTTCCTTTTCCTCTGGTGAGTTTTCTTTAGTATATTTGCACACCTTCCCACATTTCCGCCCCCTACCTCCGAATATATACAAATCCATTGCAATGCTCTCTTTACCACATTATTATTATTAGCACATCCTTCGTGTTCCGCATTGTCGACCTTCATGGGCCCAAATACTCCCTGCACTTGCCCATTTGCCATGCCATATGCCTGTATGCATTGCTTTCTCCAGCGCCCTGTGAGCAGACGGTTGCTTGATCACCTAAGCAATTGTTAAACAATCCTGAATATCCCCCCACTCCGATGTGCGCATCCTGTACGCACTCTGCACCCCACCCAACGACAGTGTGCCGCAAGCAGGAACCCTTCGGTGCCCGCATCCCATGCGTTATCCTTAAAGTATTCCGTTGCCAACGCGCCCACTTTGCCTTACCACTGCCCCCATGTGTGCTTACACACGTACTACACACTTTCCCACTACATCTTGTGCTCACATCATCCCGAACAGGTGTGGCCAGTGACGCATATACTCAACATGGACAACAGGGCAGAACATGAACGAACATCCGAGCGCGGAGGGTTAGAAAACGAACCCTCTACTTCCGACGAGTCCGACACAGGTGCTAAATTCGCGCGACGAGGCTATTAGCCCACCATTCTCTGCACACCACCATAGTTTTCTGGTTTAGCTACTTCTCATACCCATTTCACGTTTGAGTATTGTCATTATGGCACATTTCCCATGGCCTCGATCCCGTTTGCTCTCTCCCTCTGCTCTCTCCCTCTGCTCTCTCCCTCTGCTCTCTCCCTCTGCAATCTCCCTCCGCTCTCTCCCTCCGCTCTGCTCCCTCTCTCCCCTCTGCTCTCTCCCTCCGCTCTCTCCCTCCGCTCTGCTCCCTCTCTTCCTCTGCTCTCTCCCTCCGCTCTGCTCTCTCCCTCCCCTCTGATCCCGCATTCCCCTCTGCTCCCTCCCACCCCACTGCTCATTCCTTCCCTTCTGCTTCCTCTCTCTCCTCTCCTCCCTCCCTCCTCTCTGCTCCCTCTATCCCCTCTTCTCCCTCTCTCCCTTATGCTCCCTCCTTCCCCTCTTCTCCCTCTCTCCCTTATGCTCCCTCCTTCCCCTCTCCTCCCACGCTCCTCTCTGCATCCTATGCTCCATCTCTTCCCTCTGCTCCCTCCCACCCCTTTGCTCCTTACCTCCCCCCTGCTCTCTACCTCCCCTCTGCTCTGTCCCTACCCTCTGTTCTCTCCCCTATACTCTCCTCCTCCCCTCTGCTCTGTCCCTCCCTTCTGCTCTCTCCCTCCCCTCTGCTCTGTCCCCCCCTTGTGCTCCCTCCCTCTCCTCTGCTCTCTCCCTCCCTTCTGCTCTCTCCCGCCCTGTGCTCCTTCTCAACCAACATTCTATCCTGACACCCCTAGGCGACCCCGCTGTTGCATATGATTTGCATGGCAGGTGTTACATGGTTGGCAGTATGGCGATCGTTCCATTGCACCCTCATACGACGCACTTCACAGATCTTATGTTCACTCCATTCGTTGCATAAACACCATCCATATTCCCCTTCTTTATCTCCGTTATACCATATACCGTCCTTTAAATGATTGCAGGAGAGGATGCTGATCGCCCGTTCAAGTGCGGTGGTTGCCCTAAACGCCTCCGCACTTACCCAGCCCTCGTCAACCACGAGCGGAAGCACCGCAACACCTCTGCTGAAGACATGCTGTTTTCGCCCACCACTAGGACTCTTGGGAGCAGACGGGGTGTACTTGTGGAGGAACATGCACCCCTTGTACGGGTGGAGTCTCCTTTGCTGCCACCAGTAGAAGAGGTGGAGGTGGTAGAGGATAGCGACGTTGAGATTGGGAGCCAACATGAGGAGGAGTTCGTATTTGTTGACGCTGATGAATATTTTGCTAATGAGGAGTCCATTACTGAGCCTGTGTTTGACACTCGCTTTGAAACATTCAGATTTCTATCCCTCTGCAACACGGGCACTGGGATGAGTGGACCTGATGTGGCGGCGTTTTTCAGGCTTGTGAAGAATCCAGGATTCGACATTGCACAGCTGGATGGATGGAATGGGCAGCATGCTTTAGATACGTACGCGCGCGAGGAGTTTGGGATTGATCAGACAAGGTTTAGGACTGCCATCGTACGAGTGCCCGGTTGGCATCGGACTTTCAAAGTGAAATATTTGGATCCTATTGAGGTATGTAAGTCCATGTGGAAGGCTGTGGTTTAGGATTTCCTGTAATAATGATTTTAATGGAGCTGTGATGATTTATGTTCAGGTTTTATGACGCATGTGGGCCGACCCAAGAAATAAGCAGGGGTTCATTCACAAAGCCTTCGAGAAATACGAGGGTGAAGCACGCGTTTACGCCGGCACAGAGACGGGAGATTTCTTTATTAAGTCTCAGGTGAAATCCTGGCACATTCACTATGTACTTCCTATTGTTGTTGTTCTGTTTGAACTTATCAATGTATAACAATCACGTATAATATATTTGTATCACTTACGGGTGTTAATTCTTTTACGTGCGTGTTTCGTACAGCAAGGACTCGGCGAAAAGGAATGCGTGTGCCCGCTAATTCTCTCAAGCGATGAGACGCACCTCAGCGGAAACGCGCGTTGCCGTGCCTGGCCGGTGTATCTGTCGTTCGGTAATCTTCCCCTCAGCACTCGGTGGAGCGAGCACGGCCATGCACTCATAGCACTGCTTCCACTCCCGGACGCAGACATGTCATCTACCCAGAAAACCATATTGTTCCTGGGATGCTGCGACGTCATGAAGAAGGCGCTCGACCAGGCGTGCAAGACGTAAGTGTTGTGCTTCCGGCGAGTGTGTGTGTGGCAAACTTAACGTAGCGTACAGTCTGATGATACAAAATGTGTGCTTGCAAGTCCATCCCATTGACGGACCCATTTGGAGAGGTGTATACTGTCTGGCCCAAGCTGTTTTCGTACGTCGCCGATTTTCCAAAGACTTGCCGGGTCTCGTGCACCAAACAGGCCGGAGCCAAGAGACCTTGCTCGATCTGTGAGGTGCGAGACAAAGACTTGGACAACATGGATCCGAATTGTGCTGCAAAGTTTCGCACGGTCGAAGACCAGCGCAAGTACGCCAACGATAAGGATCTTGCCATGGAATACTCTACCCACATGACAAAGGTGAGGGGACCATAAACCCATCTCTATGAGTTAGTATTTTGGTGTGTGGTCCATTTCCACACCACAACAACGCTTTGTTGTGTTGCTATATGGTGTGCAGTGCTTTCTTTGGACTTTCGGAAAAGCGGAGGATCGATCGAAGTCCTGGGGCAACCCTTATCGCATCTTCATGCCCGACATCTTGCATGTCATATTGATCGGCATTTGGGTCTACATCCTGGAGGCTATCATCCTCGCAAACAAATGTGCTAAAAATGCAAACCAGTGAGTGATGTTGCTAATTAGTTTGGTCTGCAGGGGTGTGGGGTGCTGACTGGGTCATGCACTGGGGTGACAAGCTATGTGTGGATATGGAAAGGGAGGGATTAGGGTGTTTGTGAATGAAATGTTCTCAAGGGGTATGGTGAGTGGTTTGTTAGATGCTGCTATGTATGGTGTGGATAAGAATTATTGGGTGTTCGTGTGTTGGTTGTAGAATGTGTCTCTCTGTGCGCTGGTTTTAAGAGTGTGTGGGTGTGTGCTGGTTGTATAGTGTGTGTAGGAGTGTTGTTTGTATAGAATGTATGAGTGTTGTTTCCCAAGTGTGTGTGTGTGGTGGTTAAATAGTATGTGTTTGCGCTGGTTTTACACAGGGTGTATAAGCGTGTTCACAGAGTGAGTGTGTTCCCAGCTTGTATATTGTGGGTGTGTGCTGGTTGTACTGAGCGTGTGTGAGTGCCGGATGTTTCTGCCGTGTTCCTGTTGGTTGAATAGCGTGAGAATGTGCAGGTTTTACAGTGTGTGTGTCCGTGCTAGTTTCACACCTATATACTGGAGAATATCACAGCCGTGCATAAATATTGGGATAGAAGCAAACCTGTACGTGCCGGGATCATTAGGTGCAAATATGCAACGTGATGCTCATTGAGTGGTGAACCTGAGTTGAGACTGTAGGTGACAATTCGGTTGTTGACGACCTAAACCAAGCAGCTAATGCATCGTCGTTGTGTGTGTTGTACTCTCTTCTCATTGTGCATATGCCAGGCTGCACCTCGAGATGTATCGTGCTATATTACTTGCAGGCATGAAAATACCGCCACCCGGTGCATATTTCAGTTTGGGGGCCAACTTCTCTGCGTCGGAACATGTGGCAATGATGAGGGTAAGTAAGGAGGGACACGCTAAACGGTGCGTGGGGCAAAAGAAGGCTGTGTGGTATTGCTTCAAACTGCGGCAATGGATCCGTTCTCCCTCCCTATTGGCTCCCTATCACCTTTCAGCTCCCCCCCAACTCTTTGCATCCTTTCCCTACTCAATATCCTCTCATCCCTTCTTGCTCACATCAACACCTCTCACTATCGTCCACACTCTTTTGATCCTGCACACCCCTTCTGATCCCTCCCATCCCTCTGCTGTCTGACACTGCCCTGCTTGTATTCAACGATCGGCATCCTCCCACCCTTATGCAACCTGATTAAACTCTAACCCTCACACCCCTCTGTATTTTCGCTCATGTAACTTTCCAATCACCCTTTCGTTATGATGCAGGTTGCCGTGGTAATACTCAAGGGCCTCATCACGGAGGCCCACATGTATGTGTTGCGTTCATTCGTTACATGGTTCGACAACTACTTTCGGGCGTCATCATACACTGAGGCAAAGTTGGCGAAGTACGTCAAAGACACCGCAGAGTACGTACCATGCATACGTGTTTGTAGTGGATGTTACATTACCCTTGTGTTTGAGTCAACCATATGATTACCATGATATCATTTGTACATATCCACCACCATCCCTCCAGACTGGTTGGGCTCCTGAAGTCACATCTAAAGCATGCTGGTGACGGATGGCTATTGCCGAAAATCTATCTGCTAACGCATTTTCCTGATTCCATTCGACGCGGGGGAGCTCCTAATCAGTATTGCACGGCATTGTATGAGCATGCACACACAACCACCTGCAAGCAACCATTCCGTGCTTCAAACTACCGCCAGTACGACGAAACAATTTTGCGCAGTATTCAGATGCGCAATCTGCTCAGCATGCAAGAATCGGCTCTTGGAGGCTCGTCAACCTACGAGACTGCTTTATTGAAGGTGAGGCTCTAAACACTGTCATTTGAAAGAAAACTAGCGCCAAGACGCACGGTCCATGTTGACACATCCTATTGCACGCCGTCTTCTTGCTACTGCATGTACTATTCACGTCGGATATGAGATGTGTCGGTGTTTTGCCTTGTTTGTACTACCACAGGCGGACCGTGTTCGTTCGAGCGTGCTTACGACGTCGTATGATACAGTGGACCTGCCTGTGGGGGACCCAGCACGAAGAGGGGCAGCAACTTGGCAGGGATATGTGTTGTGCCATGCAGATAGTATGCAGCACCTTCACCCGTGCATCGAGGAGCTGGGGCTATCTGTCAGCACCATTCATGTAAGTGAATTCGAAAAGAAGGATGGTGTGCGTGAGAGTTGGAAGAGATTATGGGGATCTTAAGGGGGTGGTGGGTGATTTGATATATGTTCAAATTATGTATGGAGAGAATCAGTACAACACATTGTCATTGTTATGTTTGTAGAGAGTGTGTGGGTGTGCTTTTGCAAGTCGTGCAACTTGTGTATGTGTTCGGGCCCAATAGAGGGTGTGTGTGTGTGTGCGTGCTGGTTGTTTAGAGAGTGCGTGCGTTGGTTGTACCGAGTTCATGTGTGTGGGGGTGTTGGTTGTACAGTGTGTGGTTGAGATCGCTGTTTAGTAGGCGTGGGCATGTCATACACAGTAGGTTGCCTAGCTGCATTTACAGAGGGTGTGCTAGCCATTTTTGTACAATGTGCGGGTGGGTGCTTAACTCCGTATCTTTCAAGACATGTGTCCCATTCCATATTTTTGGGTTAATGTGCATCTCTGTCTTCCAGGTCCATTCGGCACTTGCCATTCCATCATGCGGAGAGAGGGAGGCACACTACGTTCGCGCAACACCGAGCTTCCATGGGGCACCTGCATTTTCACGTGTTGCCATACTTCAGACCGTCACGAACCAAAACGAGAACCAGGAGAACATCACAACTTATGCAGACCTGCTCATGCTCTTCCACATAAACACGCGGCGTGAGGATGGTGAGCCTACGACGCTGGCGTATGTGCGATTGTATGAGTCGGGTGAGGTGGACGACAAGACAACTTGCCTGAAGCTATTTTTGAGGGACACGCATCTCCGACACTACGTCGTCGACGTGCGGTCCATTCTGCATTCCGTTCATA